GCACAGTTTAAAACACTGGTTTTAATGATGCTCACTGATCTCAGTGAGAACTTCAACAGAGATAGGAAACATAAAAAATGGAGATAGAAAACAATGAAAAAACAGAAGCAGGAATATAATAACTGAAATAAAGAATACACTAGAGGGAATCAACAGTAAATTAGATGAAGCAGCAATTTGGAAGAAAAGGTAGCAGAAAACACCCAATCAGAACAGTAACAGGAAAAAAATATCCAAAAAAATTAGGATAGTTTAAGGGGGCCCTCTGGGACAACATCAAGCATACCAACATTTGCATCATAGGGGCACCAGAAGGAGAAGAGAGAGAGCAAGGAATTGAAAATCTACTTACAGAAATAATGACAGAAAACTTCCCTCACCTGGCGAAAGAGACAGACACTCAAGCCCGGGAAGTGCAGAGAGTCCCCAGCAAGATGAACCCAAAGAGGCCCGCACCAAGACGCATCATCATTAAAATGCCAAAGGCTGAAGACAGTAAGAGAATCTTAAAAGCAGCACGAAAAAAGCAGTTACCTACAAGGGAGCTACCATCAGACTGTCAGCTGATTTCTTAACAGAAACTTTGCCGGCCAGAAGGGACTGGCACAAAATAGTCAAAGTGATGAAAAGCAAAGACCCACAACCAAGATGACTCTACCCAGCGAGGCTGTCATTTAGAATCAAAGGACAGATAAAGAGCTTCCCAGTCAAGAAAAAGGTGAAGGAATTCATCACCACCAAACCAAGAAATGTTAAAGGGATTTCTTTAAAAAGAAAGGAAAAAACACAAATGTGAATAATAAAATGACAATAATTACGTACCGATCAATAATCACTTTAAATGTAAATGGATTCAATGTTCCAATCAAAAGACATAGGGTAGCTGAATAAATAAGAAAACAAGACCCATACATATGCCTCCTACAAGATACTCACTTCAGATTAAAAGACACACGCGGACTAAAGTAAAGGGATGGAAAAAGATATTTCATGAAAATAGAAATTAAAAAAAAAAATAAAGAAACTGGGGTAGAAATACTTATACCAGACAAAACGGACTTTAAAACAAAGGCTATGACAAAAGACAAATAAGGACCCAGTGATCCCACTTCTGAATATTTATCCTTGGAAACCCAAAATACTACTTTGAAGGGACATGTATATCCATATGTTCATAGCAACATATTTACAGTAGCCAAGATATGGAGGCAGCCTGGGTGTCCATCAATGAGTGAATGGATAAAGAAGAGGCGGTGCATACATACAATGAAGTATTACTCAGCCATAGAAAGAATGAAATCTCGCCATCTGCAACAACATGGATGGACCTAGAGGGTATTGTGCCGAGTGGAGTAACTCAGACAAGGACAAATGTCATATGATTTCATTTAAATGTGGAATCTAAAAAACAAAATAAAGGAATAAAGAAAGCAGAAACAAGGTCATAGGTACAGAGAGCATTTTGATGGTCGCCAGATGGGGGACATGAGAGGCTGGGTGAAAAAGGGGAAGGGATTAAGCAGTACAAATTGGTGGTTTCAAAACAGGCATGGGGATGTGAACTACAGCATAGGGAATAGAGTCAATAATACTCTAATAACTGTGTATGGTGCCAGGTGGGTACTACATATATCGGGGGCGATTACTTAGTAAGTTACATAAATGTCTAATCGCTATGTTGTACACCTGAAACTAATTTAATATCGTATGTGAACTATAATTGAAAAACATAAAATTTTAGCCAGGTAGATTTCATCATCTTAATCACAGGCAAGTTTCTAGGATACATATGGGAAGAGATGGTTTGCATGAGACCTAGAAGGGAACTAGCGATCACAAAGGCAAGCACGTTTTGTTTTCTGAAATAAGGTCAGTAAATGTAAATGGATAAAGCAGGGGAATGTCGTAGGCATCTGGATTCCAGTGAGGCACTGACGATGTCACTCATGACATCCTTGTGCAAAAGTTGGAAAATGTACAGCGCAGTTATTGAATGAGCGGATGATCATCCCAAAGTCGGCTAATTCATGGATCAATGTTTTATTTGTGTACTAGTTTATCTGTCACCCCTCCTCAAATGTAAACTCTTTAAAAGAGGGATTTGGTCCCCTGTTTTGTTCATGAGTCTACCCTGGTATGTATAACAGTACCCAGTACACAGTAGAAAGTGTTCAAGAAATATCTGTTGCATGAATGAATGAATTTGGAGACATGTTATCAAGTTGGTCTCCGGCCTCTCCTATTCGGCACGCTTTATCATTTATTAAAGACATCAGATGGCGTGCTGACCACGTGGGCATGTGAGGCATAACAACATCATGGAGTCTATCCAAAAAGAACAACTGGCAAGAGCAATTTACAGTGATAAATGCACTTAGATGGAAAAAAACTGGAGATACAAGCTGACATAGTCAATAATGGCAGTATGTGTGAAAAAAAAAGAAGTTTTCATTCATTTTTTCAACAACTAATTGTTGAAAGTACCAGGCATTGCAGTAGACACTGGAACTTTGGGTAGACACTGGAACTCAAAGACTATTGATGGAGAGAGATATTAATCACATCAGTCCACGGACAAGTATATATTTACAATCCATGATGAATCAAACAGTGCTTAGAGTGTATATAACAAGAGGACCTGACCTCTCAGAGCTGAGTGGGTATAAACTGCGGTGAAGGCAGGGGAAACGGTAAGTCTAGTGAGACAACAGTGTGAGATGCAGATGTGGCCCCTTGCTGTTCCCCTTGCCACGGGCTCAGCTCGGGATTCAGCTTGCTTGCTCACTGGGCTAGGGGCTCAGCTCATGACTCAGCCAGACAGAGTGTCTGTCAGGGCTTAGGCCAAAGGGACAACCCTCATGGTCAGGGTGGTGGGGTTAGGACCGAGGAGACAGCTGCAAGGCTGGGAGATAGTTCTCGAACAGGGAGACTGAGCAAACAAGTCAATATCTGAGGTTCATAGAAGCAGTTTCTCAATGTTGGGAGAGAGTTGCAAATATGAAAAGGGAACAGAGCTAGAATAAACACCCTGATGCTGAATTGAAAACGGAGTGTCAGTCTGAACTCAGTTTTATACACGCATGTGTGTGCACGTATGCGCACATAGACACATTTATTTCCTAGCTCTGCCCACTGAGAGGACCTAGAGATAATGGCACTCCAGTAACAATGAGCGCACCTAACGCCCAGGACTTGGGCATTAATTGCCATTCTCTATTAAAAGGAGCCCAGGATCCTTGAGTTCAAGGCTGGGGCAGGGAAAATCTAAGATGACTCTGGAACATCTTATTTTGTCACATAGTAAGGAAGTGTTCAAAGTCTGATGGGGACATATCGAAAAGACCAGAGGGGCCAGCTTTGAGAAGCAAAAAGATAGTAGTACCGGATTATAGGCCATTAAATAAAATAGAAATCTGTTAGTCTGTAGCATTTTAAAAACACGAATCAGTACGTGAGGGTGAAGAAAATGCTCTATTTAACAAATGCCAACTAACAAGTGAAAAGGAAATGATGGAAATTTTAAAACCCACATTTAGCAACCATCACAGTAAAAATGGATTCAGGAAAGAATCATAAATGGGTGCTAAAACTGGTGAGTGAAAATTTAATGAGAAACAGGATATTTGGCCTCAAGGTATTTTCCACAAAGAAAGAACTTCATAATTCCTTATCAGTTACTGAGTACCTGGTAGATACCATCTCAACTTTAACCAGTGACGGGGCACACTGACGTCACAGAAAGGTTTCGTGCGCCTGCTGGTATACCGCACCAAGAACATATCGCTTTTGTGGCATGCCTACCCAAAACGCAAAAACCGAATCTAATCATTAGGAAACATCAGACACATCCAAGTTGAGGTTCATGCAACAAAGTAGTTAGCCTGTACTCTTCAGAAATATCAAGGTCTCGGAGGATAAGGAAAGCCTGAGGTTTCTGTTTGCAGTAGATAAAAGAGACATGACAACTACATGCAACTTACGAAGGACTTTACGGTCTGCAGATGAGATGCAGAGCTGTACCATTGTTTATTTCCTAAGTTTGACAGTTGTACAGTGGTCACGTGGGAGAATGTCCCTGTTTTTAGAAAATGCACGGAGATATTAAGGGGTAATGGAACAAGATGTCTGCAAACTAATCTCAAGTGGTTCAGAAAGAAACACACACACACACACACACACACACACACAGAGGATGATAAAACAATGTGATGAAATGTTAACAAACAGTGAAGCCGGGTGAAGGGCATCTGGCAATATTCTGTGCTTGTTTACACCTTCTCTGTAAGTATAAAAACATTACAAATCAAGTAAAAAAATGTTAATGATACAAACCAACTAGGGAAAAAAGCTCAGGTGACCTCACAGCACACTAGCGCAAGCCAAGCCTGGAGGGGGCTGTGAGCTCCAGGTGGGTCGGACCTCGCCAGGACAGGGGTTTTGGCTCTTGGAGGGCGAGGTGACTACGTCACATGAGGAACAGCAGAGGGGTCTGACTTCTGTGTCCAGTTCTCCAAAGGGCATCTGGTACACAGAAAGCAGATGGGTTACAGGACGACAAATTTCTGCTCAGGGTGAAGAAGGGCCTTTTGCCAATTAGACATCCAAAAAGGTGGACTGAGCAGTTTTGGGAGTCCCGTCATGGGATATGTTCCGACGGAGACCAGACAACCGGTTCTCCGGGACGTTGCAGGACGGTCTGGAGTCCAGTCAGTGGCGGGCCCGGAGACCATGAAGGCCCTTCCAGCAACGAGCGCGCCGCCCTCCGCGCCCCGGGCCCTGGGCCCTGGGGTTTGAACACTTCTGGAATAAAGTGCGCCTGTGTGGGACGGAGATGGACAATCTTGTTTTGTTGTTCAAACGAAGCGTGAATCATGTTGCTCTCACATGGGCCATTTCCACATATAATTATTAGCACTTTGGAAAATTGGTTTGTTCCCTTGAAATGAGCTGGTCACAGTGGTGAGAGTCAAAATGCTTTTATTTTAGAGAATGCCATTTGATAACATAAAACTAGGGCCTGAGAAAACAGAAGCAAAAGCTTAAGAGAAACTTCGATTAAACATTCAATGTCTCAGGACCGCGCACCTTCTTCCAGCCTCTGTCTGCTCGCCTGCTCACATGCCTGTCACTCTTCATGGAAAACCGAGCCCTCATTCAGATGTAATGCCTCCACGAGTTTACTGAATAGAAAGTTCATCTGGCAAAGAGAGTAGCAAATAGATTTTCTGAGAGGAAAGGAAATAGGGGAAAGCTTCCGCGACCCGCGGCCATGGCACGAGAGTCTAAGCCTTGGCAGAGCCACTCTGGAGAGAAAACACGGTACTCGCTGGGGGAGGACGGGTCCCGTCACACCAGATTCATCGACCTTGGCTCTTATTTGGTATCGAGACTGCTTTTCCACCAAGCCTCTCCTGGTTAGCTAGTGGCCCAGCGGTCTGCTTCTCAAAGCAGTTTCTGGAGGACACAACTTTTGAAACACTAGGCGTTTGCACAGAGGACAGCACGCGGTGGCTGGTGTGCGTGGCATCGGTAGTGACGCGCCCTTCCCCAGTTAGTGCCCGGCAGGCCTCTTAATTAGGTCTCGTTTGCTCTCCCTGAGCCCCCCGTTCACCATCCGTCCTGGTTTCACCCTGAGAAATTAGTCTGTACAGGCCCGAATTCTTGCAGTTCTGTGGAACCGTGGAGAGGATGACGACGAGACCTTTCCTAGCCAAGGCGGGAGGGCCGGGCCCTCGCTGAGCCCGACGCGACCTCCACCCGGGTCAGGCCGCCCACCGCCAGCCCTGTCCCTCCTCACCTGAGTTTCGTAGCTTCTCTTGAGGGAGCCAAGGTGGTCGAGGAAACGCATCGCCAGGCCACACCATTTTTCGGCAGTGACAAACTTGCGCGTGCTGTACATAAATATTCCAACATTCCAGGATTTGATCATCAGCCAGAGGACCTCCATTTCAGGGTAGCCTTCCTGAAATCCAAGAACAGTGGGTGTACAGCTGTCACTGTCATGATCGTCGTGGTACCATCTGCACTGTGCTGCATCTATTATTATTATTAAACGAACGCTGCTCGGCTCACACCAAGGCGCACAGGACATGAGTGCGGCGAAGGGGACCCCGCTGTAGGCAGCGCTGGGGCAAGACCTCGTGAAAGGCCAACAACCGGAAATCAACGAGGCCCTCTGGGACTGAGTCCTGGCGCCCCGAAGCCGGAGTAAAACCGGCACTGTGTCCAGGGCTTCTCTGGGTGCTGTCCCCAACCGACGACCTCCCCGATGGCTACCTCTCGTGTTCAGAGAAGGTCGCGAAGGGGCAGTTTTACTGAATCTCTTCATTTCCTTGACCGGAATCAGTCTATGTTAGGAACGGAAATCATACGAATCTTTACTTTCGCACACATTTTTTTTTTCAGGAATCGGCTCACATGCTTGTGGGGACCGGCACATTCGAAATCTGCGGGGCAGGCCAGACGCGAGGCGCTCGGGCAGCGTTTCTATGTTACCATCTTGAGGCAGAATCCTTTCTGCAGGAAACCTCAGTTTTTGCCTCAAAAGCAAAAACTGATGACGGAGGGCAATCTGTGTTACTTAACGGCAACCGACTAAGTTTTAAGGGATGTTCATCTTCAGTGTTGACGGTATCTGCCTAGCTGTGAACAAAGGACAGCTTTCCAAGACGGCCCCTTCACCTCATGAGCGGGCTTTTCTGTGGCTGACCACGAGACCTGGCAATAGTGGATCAGTGTAGGGGGCAACTTCCTCAGTTCCTGTGTGGGGGGCGGACCACAAAGGGACCACCCATGTACCCGTCGCACCTTAAAGCTCTTGAAAGGGGAGATGTGACAGAAGCATCGGTTTGAGACCATCAATGACGTTGTCTCAGCTGTAACTCTTTCACTCACTTGAATCTATAAAAAATCATTATGCAGAAAACACTACGAGAACAAAGGCACAAAGAGGGACAAGACGAAGCCCTTATCTGAAAGGACCCCGAGTGCATTTGGAGAGCCCAGGCATAAAGGGGACTCACAAGGTGTGTGATTCACGGCTAGTCAGGGCGACACAGGTGTCACGTGCTCTAGTTCAGTAAAAGAGACGAGCATTAGAGGCACAGTCAGCGGAGGTCTAGTCTCTGCTTGAAATGCCACCCCCACCCTTGCCCACTTGCTAAACTTCTCTTTCTCCTTCAAATTCACAAACAGAGCGAGTTGCTCCTTTCTCTGCTCCCACAGCAGGTGTTACATTCCTCTAATACACCTCGCCAGGTTGTTTAGAAAGTGCGTGTGGCTCTGTCTCCTGCAGACTGCTGAGCTCCTTGGGGCGCGGGGGATTTTTCTGGTTCGTCTTTGTATCCTCAGAGTCCCAACACTGAGCCTGGCACATAACAGGGGCACAACAGATGTTTGGCGAATGAATCAACAAACGAATAAATGTCTCGTCAAATGCAACGTGCTCGGCGCGCTTTCCCCACCTCTGCACGTGGTGTCCGCGCCCCTCGGTTCCTACGCGGTCTGCGCACGGCGCTCCCGCAGCACTGGCAACAACACTGTGTCATCTGTCCCTGCACGAGGCTGGGAGTCCCTTTAAGGCGGAATGGCATCTGCGTTTGTATAGTCAAAGCCTGGCATGGTATTTGACAGTGATGGGATTTTAACTGAAGGAATGCAAATGACTGAACAAACATGGTCTTAGGGCAGATGAGTAGGATGTAGCTATACGTGGGTTATATGAACTGTCTAGAACAGGCAAATCCACAGAGACAGAAAGCAGAGTGCTGGTTGCCAGGGGCTGGGGGGTGGAGACAGGGAATGACTGCTAATGGCTACGGGGTTTCTTTTCGGGGTGACGAAAATGTTCTGGAATTAGATAGCTGCCCAATTTTGTGAATGTACTAAAAAGCAATGAATTGTGTACTTTAAAATTGTGAATTTTCCGATATCTGCATTACATTCATAAAATTACAAATGTATAGCTGTACAAAGAAGAAGAAGGGCATTCATGGGCAGAACGGAACCGAGAGCGGCTTGGACCGTGCTTGAGCCGGCACACATCTCAGGAGACAGCAGGCGTCTGGCCCAAGCGGACGATTTACGTGGGGTGATCACTGGGACCGGGATGGAAGGGCGACACGGGGCCACCTTGCATTTCCCCGGTGCTTTCCTCAGAGCATCGGCGTCACGAAGTACGTTAACAGATGGTCACATATGCATTCTATACATACCCTTTTGGAGCACTGTAACGCACATTAGTTCATTAAAAGTTTCAGGAAGTCTGGCGGTAAAGAAACCGTATAACTTTGTTTAAGCCAGGGTATAAAGACTGTTTCCTCACATCTTGTGGAATTACTGCAAAACACAGGGCTGGAGGTGTAAAGGGTCTTACATTACAGGCCACAGATTTCAGAACTTATTCTGCTGGCAATGAGAAGTCACCAGTGAAACTTTTTGAGAAGAGAAGTGATGGGATAAAATTGGAGTTTTAATAAGATTGAAATGCCGATGGTGTTTTGAACAGACCTGAGTGTGAGAACACAGACAGCAGGCCCTGTTTTTAAATGGACTTGTCATGTCTGTGGATGATGCGATGAGTCAGAGCTACGATACTGACAACGGAAATGGGGAGATGTAAGAAACGACAGCACCTGGGATCTGATATGCTGTGGCGAACGTTAGGTCAATTGAGAATGGCTCCAAAGTACAGGTTTAATGGCTGAGAGAATGCTGATATCACTGACAGAACATATTGGAAAGAAATGTTTCTGGGGACACGGGATCGATATAACCTTAAGTTCTATTTTAATCACGTTGGGATTGAGGTCACGTGGGAGAGGTCACGTAGGCTGCTGCGGATATGGACTGGGAGACTCAGGCAATGGTTAAAGTGTATCGCTTCACTTAAAGGCCAGAGTATAGAATACGGACAACTAAAAGGCAGAGAATATCGAAAATGTTCGCAGTTGGGTAGTAAGCGGGAAAAGACGACACAGAGGAGCGACGAGAAAATAAAGGAAAAAGTAAAAGAGAATTTCGATAAGGAGGCGCTGGCCAATAACGAAGGCCAGGGTAAAGGAGGCGGCCGGCGCATCTGCCTGCGGGGTGGTAATCGGTGGCCTCGTG